TTTGATACTTATCGATTAGTTGGGCGGAGACCTTTGATCTTCTGGACTTCTAGTCGTTTCATAGACACATGTTCAGTTCATTACAGCTGAATCGTTCAATCTCACTTATCTTTACATCCTAATCTCCCAAAACGTCTAGCAACGATGAGTTTGTCCGACTAGACGTGTGCCTGATTGGAAACGGCTACCTTCCCAAGGGATGAAAATTAAACATCTAGAAAACTTCACGAATAAATCCGATCACCTGGAACTGCAGACGGGATTTGCGGTTTTGTTCGCCAACCGAGCCAACGATCGGGCGTTCCTCTTCGGGAAGTGCTTTCATATATCGCTCGACCAGCGATTTGTCCGGCACGGGCACCCAACTGTATTCCGTAGTTGTCTGAAAGAACACGACCAAATTCAATGAGGCTAAAAAGGTAAAAGGGGGTTCATAGAGAGCGAAAGTTTTTAAGCTTGTGACGATTAGAAACATTGTCAAAATATCACGAAATTTTGTAAAAATCCTCAAAACGTGCGAATCTTCCCGAGAACCCTACACTCTGATTACATTCTATTATATGATACTTCACGAAACTTGGGCGGAAGTGGTGTAGTGACAAGTGGCGCGCTTACCACGCGAGCGGTCCGGGATCAAATCCTGGGTCGTGAGTCGCCCGGGCCAACCAAGCCTTCCATCCCTCCGGGTCGGTTAATTGGTACCAGACTTGTCTGGGAGGATAAAAACACTGACTTGAACATCGGCTGGCCCCCGCAAGTCATTGTATAGGCCACATCGCATTCAAACGCCACTGCGAATGTACAAATGGAAGTAGAATGCGTGCCGCATCCCAAAAAGGGATTGATCAACGGCAAATGCTTTATCCTTTATCCTTTATATATTCGACCTTTCAATAATATGTTGCACTGTCTCTTCTACCAAATTCTATCACCCCCACCCTAATTCCATAATGAGGAGCCATGCTATGGTATCCTCGGCGTTCGCTTAGCTTGTTGGCAAATTCAAAAAATAATCTCTACATGAATGTTAAAAAATGGCGAGACAACTAACTGAGGTTTTCAGATATGAATTAATGAAGGATTTTTTGAAATCAAAAAATTCCTCGTAACTGCAATAATTAAAAACATACCATCTGTTTGCTTGCGCTTTCCACATTGGAAATTGATAGTTCGGCTGTCGGAAGTGTTCGATCCTGCTAAAAAACACCCGGTTACGTAGATTCTGGTAAATTTCGATACACCATTGGCGAGAGGATTTCGCTTGAAGTGTTTGGTGTCTTATGTTGGGCACTGGTCTTCCGTGATGCGGCGATGCCTTCCTTTTTCATTTCAAATGACATCTTGACATGAATTTGGGCAACCAAACAATACCCCACAATGCGTGTTCGCCAAAGGAATGTAGACAGCTAGGTTTTTATCCTGTTAGCCTCAGACGTACGCGGTAATGATTTATTACATTCCCAAAAGGATAGGAGTTAAGGATAGCGATGGAATTGAGCTTTAGCTTACGCCAGTAGTAAGCAGCTCATGGCCACTATCATTACGCCCCTACATCCAGAAAGACAATGAATTGTCGTCAAGTCATGGGTAGTGAACCTGAACTAAACATCATTGACCCAAAATCCCAATTTTTCCATAAAATGGCTCAAATCAGATGTCGCTTTAGAGGCGGAGGCGGACAATACAAGCCACCATAGTCGCTAATGCACTCCGTTTGCATGACGATGTGGGGGAAGGCGAAGCCGATTCAAACGGATGGACCGTTCAAGCCCGCATAGCGCAGCCCTGTGCGCACCACACGTTCGTCTCTAGACTGACCAAGCGTTAAGTTCAGCAGGGTTCATATTTGTGCCTATTGCAGGGTCATATACTACAGTGGTTGGACATCCACATTTGCTGGGAGAGTGAAATGGGATTGTTTCAAGCAAACGTCTTGACAATTAAAAAGGAATTATTGCACGAAACGACCCTTGGAACTGCCATTGTAGGTCAAAGATCGATCAAACACCTGACGCTAGTTTCGCTCAACTATGCCAGGGTTCAAGCTCAACTCGCTGTTGTGTTTGAGCGGTATACAGCCCCTTGCCCTGAACTACCTGGGCCCGTTGGAAACATATTGTCGCCACTTTCACATTTGAAGGCAAAGCCCGCAATCAAACTTTGACGGTACTTCGCTTGAACATGAAAGTCGTGGGGCTGAAGGAACGCCGAACGTCGAACGACCGTGCTAGGGCGGAAAGACACAGCGCACCGAGAGAGCGTGCCGTACTAGAATAGCGTAAACAGCGTAAACAATGACGGACGTTGCAGACGAGGTACGGTATAGGAATGCGTAGGCTTTCCGCGTAGTCCCTCACTGTTTTGACTGATTTCGCGCCTTTCAAGCCTCACCAACGGAATATTCCCGTGTTTGAAGACTTCACCCCCTTCGAAGGAATAAGCATTCCAAATAAATTAGTCGCGGAGGATGCCTTTAAGTCCATCATTTTGAGAAGCTCTTATAAGTATTAATTCTAAGGATTCAGCAGTGAATTGGTCATCGGAGCGCCACTCAAGTCTCTCCTAAAGATAAATAGCTCACCTTTCTCCCAATTTCCACAGAAAAGGAATATTAACCGATCTTCGCATGAGGTGTTTTGGAAGGTGTGGAACTCTTGGTGTGAGTGGAAAACAGCTGGCAGTCAGATGGTGGTTCTTTTAACAATTCCCGTTTAATCATCACTGTTGACCTTTTATAGAAAGGCTTCTTCCGGTATCATCACGACATTTGGTTTGTTTTGCATCGATTTCACTGGTCGATCGCTTTTGAAAGCGTGTCGGCATTTCTCAAGGGACTTTTCTTCCATACGAAAGTAGAATCCGCCACATGGTGACTTGGCTGAGCATTTTGGAAGGGAACTGGTACATGGCTAAAGATTTGAAGCGGTGAACACCCTTTTAGCTCAGGTGCATGTGCCAATGTCAACGAAATATAGGCACAAAAGGAAACAGCGTTCAAGCGACGAAGGTGGCGCGATGTCTGGGTCATCATGTCTCAAACCTGAAAAATGTGCCCGCCTTCAAATCATCCCGCGCCCTCAAGAGTGCTGCGGATTTTTTTCCTTGTCTTAGGGCACCATCTATTCTTCTGAGGTGCTCCCACCCTAATGGCCATCTAAGCCATAAACTCGTCCACCACCCATGATCGAGGGTCTTGGATTTCGTGTTTTTGAAGATTTCATTCAGTTTTGCTCTGTCCAACACTAGCTACCACTTCTACTTTTCATCTTTGATAAATATTAGATTATCGTGACCGCTGCCTTTAAGACTAAGGCTGCTTCTGCCGCCGTAACAGTGAGCTCACTGCATGTGACTATGGGGATCTTCGCTTATCGCCGGCCCATTTTGGTCAGGCGGCCTACCCAAGCATCTATGGAATAATCACTTCTTCTTAAGGGGTAGCCAAAGTCTGTACGTGGAGTGTGCCGATCGTGAGGCTCGAAAGTGCGCGGCAAACCAGGTAAAATAGTAAAGGACTACAGGTTAACTACGAGAACCAAAAGAGGCTAGCGAAAAAGATATAGCTCTACCTGCCCGGCTTTACTCGGCCTTCGCATGAACTGGAGCTCCTAGTTTCTTACCAGTGCAACTCTACGGGCTACCCTTGACACACCATTCTCTTCCGGATGGTATGTGCTGCATCCTTATTGCTCCCCTCCCCCCTGGATTTTGGGAGGTTTCTGCAAGTAAGGGCCTCATTGTACTGCAGAAGAGATTTCTACGTTTTGGGATGTTAGAATAAAACGAACTAAGCCCTATTGGAAAATATTATTTGAGAATTGCGTCGGATTTCCGATAAGGGGTGTTTTCAAACAATTGATGAGCACTGGCTTCGTCTCTCCAACACTTATTCTCGTACTGTCGCATGGATACTGAACCTCTACATTGATTCCTCGACTTGCTCCATGAGACGGTGTGTTGTCCAATGACGACGTCGAACTGGAAAGCGACGGATGTTCGCTGATCGTCCGCAGTTTCGGAATTTCGGAGAACTTTGCCTCAAATCGATCCTTCGACCCATGGAAAAGTCGGCCTAGACAGGTAGGAAATATTGATTCATATTTCGAAGAGAACAAACTCTAATGGGCTTGTATTTGGATCCTGGAGTACAAGGATTTCTCGAAGGTAGTGGAAAGCAGGATTTCGTCTGAAAAGAACCTTAGCGACCTACCAATAACGATTTGTCCATGGTCGTACTGATTTGGTAGCTGCACGTCATGTTCGTCCATTCGACAGCCACAATTTTTACAAAGCTTCCTGAAAAGCTCATAGCCTTACGAGTAATTTCCACTAATTCATAAGTCGAGAAATACTTGAATATTTGAATAGTTAATTTTATTTCTGCGAATGATGACTACATATTAATGTTTGATGGCGGAGATAGCCGAGCGGTTGAAGAAAGGCTGAATATCTAGTTCGGGCGGGGGGATGCACTCATTGCAGTCCTATTCTCAGTCCTGGGAGCGCTCTCTAACCCTAAGGATAAGATGATATGTGAG